TGTGTAAGTGCAGTATGTGTGTGAGGGCAGGTTCGTGTGTGGTATGTGTGTGTGCATGTATGTGTGGTGTACATGGTGTGTTTATGCATGTGTGCTGTGCATGGGAAGTGTGTGTGTGTGTGTGTGTGTGTGTGTGTGTGTTATGGAGGGGATCTAGGAGGGCACTAGGTATGGACTGGGAAGGAAGCAGCAATGAAAAGGCTGCTAGAGGACAAAGCGGGCAGCCGCAGTTGAGTCTGGGTGTCCCCCGCAGTGCTGCCCACCAGCCCCAGGCCCAGCCTTCCCTGCGGCTTACCAGCTCCTGAGAGCTGTTAAAAATGTCCCTGCTGTCAGTTAGGATCAACGGCTTCAGAATGGTACAGATTGTGGAAAGTATTTCCTCTGCTCTTATCTCTCCCTCTTCCACAAAGACAGCCCCTCCATCTAACAATGGATCAGTTTTTCCTACCAGGCACTGATTTGCCGAAAGGGCTAATGTGCAGATTAAAAATGGACACTGCTGAGTGAGGCAATTTCCACCGTATGATAGGTGAAAACACTGATAACTGCCATAGTAACCGAGCCGCCGCGGGTCGGTTCCCTAAGCCGAGGGCTGCACAGAGGTTTATTGTGGACAAGAGGTTAAGACAGCGTTGGCTTCCCCAAGCCAGGCAGAAATGCGGCCAGGACACTTTAAGGAATTTAATACTACCAAATTTGTGATTGAAACACAGATGTTCGTTGTATAAAAAAAAATGTTTTTCATTGAAACATGGAACACAATCCCTAGCTAGAGAAGTTTCAGAAAACATCAATTCACAGTTGTATCAAACATGAATACGTTGTACATGGATTCTGCAAGTTCTTGGGCAATTTCAATTCCCAAACCCTCACATGCCACCCACACCACAGGGCTGTCTTCCTGTCTCTGAGTAGTTAGTTATCTTAGTAAATATATATATGATGAACACCTGAGGGAAAAAATAACCCAGGAGGATTCACCCTGGCTCCTGATTTCAGAGATTCCAGTTCATGCTCAGCTGACTGCGATTCTAGACCCAGAGTGAAGCGAAGATCATGGCAGAAGGGCATGGTGGGGCCATATTAACACTTCCTGGTGACCAGGAAGCAGAGTGAGGAGGGAGGTAGGACAGAAAGAGAGGGAGGGAGGCAGGGAGAAATGGAGGGAGGGAGGAAGGGACAGAAAATATTCCAGACTCTATCTACCTACCTATCTAATTATTTGGCTAAAGAAGAAAAGAAAAAAGCCTCTTATTCCAGTATGCAGCCATTGCACCACACAATTTTTGGACTGTTTCCTAGATGTTAAATTATCTGCAGTTTATGAACAACACAGGCAAACTACTTTTATAGTTCCATGATCACACCTGGAAATGAAATCCTTATTACATTTCCTACTGAAAGCTAGGATTTCTGAAATGTATTTGGACATAGTGTAACACACGATTTTTTTTTTACCAATTTCCTCAGTAATCACTTTTAGAAGAACATGGAACAAAAAATGGCTTTGCTTCTCCTCCCATAGGATGCACACACCAAGAACCGGACATTTCAGAATATGAC